CTCAGAAATGTGAACTAGTAGAGTATATGACCTGTAAAAGGTAGTCTTCAGGATATATACTGCATGGGTTTCCAATTATTCAATTGCTGTATTTATTCACCAAGAATATTAACCAGTGCATTCACCAAGACAATCTTTTGAGCACTTTTGCAGGGATAGAAATAACCACAAACCTACTTCCCTGTACTTTGTTCCTCTTCTCTAGATCCAGTGTAGCATCAAACCCCATGCAATCATCATCCTCCCCAACACAGATGGCATGGAGCTTCTGGTGTGCTATGAAGATGAAGGGGTTTATGTGAATACCTATGGAAGAATCACCAAGGATGTGGTTCTGCAGTGGGGAGAGATGCCGACATCTGTAGGTAGGTATCACTCAGAGGAAAAGGTAGCACTTGTAAAAGTGGGGCCTTCTCTAAAACTGCATATATTTATCAGACAAGTTTTACCTGTTGTGTAGACCCTCTGGTCATTTAGCAGAACGGTTGGCAATAGATGGTGGCAAGTAAGATTGTAGACCATGGGACTGGTCATTGTCTATTTTAAAACAAAATCCAAGTAATTATTGAACACTTTTTAAAACTCTTGTCATTTAATCCTTAAGACATCCAAGGAATAGAACAGATGTTGTTGACTGATTTGTGGAAAGTAAGGTGAGAAAAAGCGTAAGGGACTTGTTCTTTTGAGTGGCAGAGCCACAACTAGAAACAGCCTCTTGATCTTCCAGCGTGCATTCAAGAATAAAGAGGCAGAAAGGCTGATATCTGAAATTTTCAGTTTATATCCCCGACTTCTTCTGGTTTCATTGCAGTTAGTCACTGTCTCTCTTCATCACTTCTTCCTGCCTTCTTCACGACTGGTTTCATAAAAATATGAGAGCAAAACTCTGCATCCAGTGGGTCATTGCTCACAATGAGCATGAACCATGTCGGGAATTCAAATTACCACTTCCCAGGATAAACTTTAAAAGGTTACAAAGGCAAAGTTCCTTAAAAACAAAAGTCTTTAAGTGCTAGACATGCAGGTATGTGTGTATTATAAGAGCAGCATCTTTTCATGGCTGTTTCCTTATCTAACAATTACATGTTTTCCCCTCTTCTCAAAAAGCATATATTCGATCCAATCAGACGATGGGCTGGGGAGAAAAGGCCATAGAGATCCGATCTGTGGAAACTGGTCACTTGGATGGTGTGTTTATGCACAAAAGGGCTCAAAGACTAAAATTCTTATGTGAACGCAATGACAAGGTAATGGTTTCCTTACAACTTCTTTTTAGCTACTACTAGCTTTAGTAATGGTTTATTTTCCATGGAGTTTGGTGAAGCCTTTTCTTGGGGTTTTGATAGATTCTGAAATAAATTCATCAAGCAATGTTTTAGTAGTGACTTTTTAAACCTGTTTATGGGGGATAGAGTATATTCTATTTTCTGTTTGCTTATAAGGGGACAAAAGATACTTACCTCCACCGAAATCATTATATGTTGGTTTGTTTGTGGTGGTTGTTTTTAACCCCATTAGGTAATCTGTGTGAGCTATGTTTGGGTTTAGGGACAGGGAAGGTTAAAGCTGCCAATTTAAATGAATGGGATTCTTTTGTGATTGGAAGGAAAGGAACCACCTTGCAAATTTGGGTAGGTAAAAGTTTCCTCTCCCCTGATATGCATCAGACCACTTGTCTGCTTCTGAATAGTAAAATAATTATAGTTCGCGTGTCAGAAATACCTAACCACATAAATCATTTTATGCAGAAGCATGAGCACCTCCTGCAGCTGAGACCCCAAGGCTTCAAAGCCCCATTTAAAACCTTTGGTTTTCAAAACTGGCCACATCCTTGTCTCCTCCAGGGCCTACTTTCTCCCTGGAAGCCCCTCCCTAAGCCAGCTTTGGAGTGAAGCAGCTGGATGGCCTTGGGTGTTGACCCATCCCACCTGCTTTGAGAAGGACCTCCTGGTGGGCCTGGCCTTTACCAAGCCCAACTTTCTTTCTCATCCATCCACCTGGATGGAAAGCCTCTGCCCACCTGAGGCAGCCCATTGCAGCCTTAGGAATTTGCCTCTTAAGAACGTTTCCACCTCTTGCTTCACATTAAAATATATTAAATATCCTAGCCACTGGCCCACTGATTGACTGCTCAAATTAAATTTAAAAATTCGGCTTGATAAAGGAGCTGTAGATCTGTCCTTGGGTGGTCCTCCTGCCTAACTACCTGCTCACTAAATAAGCTACATCACCACCAGCCCACTTTCCTGCAATCCTATAGCTCATTTACTAATGGAGTTCACATTTTTTTCTAATAGTATCTCCCAAATTGTTTACCTTGAAACCCCATACAACCTCCGACCCAATCCAGGATTTTGCCAGCTTTTTGGCTTATATTTTCCTGAGTATATTTAATGTAGCCATAACTATAATATTCTTGGAACTTCGGGCATTTAGATATTTTTATTATTTATAATGTTACATCCCTTAAAGTCTATTAATAAAAGGCCCAAAAGTAAATTGTCATAATTTGACTGTAGAGTCTTGTGAAATAACTAATACATTTTAGCTTAGTTTTTTAAAAGAGAAAAGGCAGGGCCTGGGTGGCTCAGCTGTTAAGCGTCTGCCTTCGGCTCAGGTCGTGATCCCAGGGTCCTGGGATCGAGCCCCACATCGGGCTCCCTGCTCGGCGGGGAGTCTGCTTCTCCCTCTCCCACTCCCCCTGCTTGTGTTCCCGCTCTCGCTAACTCTCTCTCTGTCAAATAAATAAATAAAATCTTTAAAATATTTTTTAAAATTTTTTAAAAAAGAAAAAGCAGGTTGGTGAGGAGTCCTCTCCATTGCTCATTGTGTTTTCCCAGACACATTTATCTTTTAGATGTTATTAGCAGTGGAGATAAAAAGAAATTGCTCAGTTTCAGAACTAACAGTTTTTTTCTTTTGAGTTCTCACAATATGGCAGTGTTAGCCTTCTTAGTTGTAATAAAAATTGCCTACAGAGATGATGACTACTTATATATGATAAATTGATATCATCTCAGATTTTCTTTTGGAAAGGGCCTTTGGGCTTTTAAGCTTCCTGCATTTGGAGCTGTTGAGGTGGCAGTGGCTCTAGGTTATCTGCCTAGGAACTGTAGGAAGCATTGCTCCCGAGGACTGGGTTGTGTTTTCATGGTAAATCTCTCTCTCTTTTTTTCTCTTGCTTTTGCAGGTCTTCTTTGCCTCTGTTCGGTCTGGTGGCAGTAGTCAGGTTTACTTCATGACATTAGGCAGGACTTCTCTTCTGAGCTGGTAGAAGCAGTGCGATGAGGCTTGCTGGTCCCCAGAGTCTTCAGGATCCTGAGAACTTGGAATTCCTTGCAACTGGAGCTCAGAGCTGCACCGGTGTGGTCCAGGACAGCTGTGTGTGCGGACACCATGTGTGGGGTTTTTTGTTTTGTTTTGTTTCGTTTTGTTTCCTTTCTTGCACCTCTTACCAGTTTATCCCCCTTCTCTTCTTTTCCCTACTCAAAAATAAATCAAGGCTGCAATGCAGCTGGTGCTGTTCACATTCTACCATCAGGTGCTATAAGTGTTTGGGATTGAGCATCAGACCAGAAAGCAAATGCCTTCCCTTCAGCTCCAGAATTCCTTGTCTCTGAGTGACTCTGTCTTGTGGGTATGGAAGGTGGAGACTATGAACATGCCATTGGTTTTGTTGGAAGTGGGCACACGGAGGTGTAAAATGGTGGTCTAACGAGCAGTTTGCTGAAGCAGAGAGCAGATTTAATATAGTAACATTAACAGTGTATTTAATTGACATTTCTTTTTTGTAATGTGACAATATGTGGTCAAAGAAGAAGGTGCAGGTTTAAGAAGTTAATATTTATAAAATGTGAAAGACACAGTTACTAGGATAACCTTTGTGGGTGGGGCTTGGGAGGCAGGGTGGGTGGGTTAAGGGGGTCCCATTTTGTTTATTTGGATTTTTTTTTTTTTTTTTTTTTTTTTTTGGCTTGGCCAAAAACTCAGTCATTTTTCTGTGTACCAGGTTTTGCCTAAATCATGTGCAGATGGTTCTTTAAAAAAAAAAAAAAAAGAAAATGTGTGCATTTGTATAATGGCCAGAACTGTGTTGTGTGACAGTATTAGCACTGCCTCAGTTAAAGGTTTAATTTTTGTTTAAACCTAGAAGCGCGACAACAGTTTTACCACAGTCTGCACTTGCAGAGGAAAAGAAATTTTTCAACCACATGTTTATTTTTTTGCCTACCTCATTATTTGTAATGCATTAAGAGGTGGTTTAGTTGCTATGTTTTTTGGAGGAAAACATTAATGTTTAATTTAATCTTAATACCAAAACTATCAGATTGAAGTTTGACTGTTAATTTTGTCACAGGTTTCAGTAGGCACGAGAGAAATTGTCCCTGAAGATGGGAAATAGCCATATGGCTTCATCATGCTGACAGATGCAATCTGTTTTCTCAGTTCAGAGAGCAGAATGCTTTGTTTTCACCAGATGCACCATTAGTGGTTGATGGGCAACCATGGCCTGCAACATAAGAGGCCTCATTGTTCTCAATTCGGGGTTTGGTAGCAGACGGATGGTCATGTTAGAATAGTCACACAAACTGTTCGGCGTTGCAGGAACCTTTTCTTGGGGTGGGGGAGGGTTGGTGTTTCCCTTTTCTAAAAATGCAATGCACTAAAACTATTTTAAGAATGTAGTTAATACTGCTTATTCATAAGATGGCATCTTCCTGTGTTTTAGTTGTAATATCAAAGCCCTGGCTTTTCTCCTCTCCCTTGCTCTCTTGTTCTCTCTCTGTTTTTTAAACCAGTTTTACTTTATGAATATGTTCATGACATTTGTAATAAATGTCTTGGCTAATAATTTGTTTTATGGCTTCATGGTCACTCAATTCCTCTGAGACTGTTAATCTCTTGGTAAAGGAGCAATGCTCGGTGTCCTGGCTCTGCCAGCTTACTTTCCTCTGGCTGAGTTTGGAGTGGGAATATTGCGTGATGGTGGCTTCAGACTTTGTTTACCAAACAGAACTTGGTGTTTCCTAGGCTTAATCCTCCTTTGTGGTTAAGTTTCTTTTACAACATGAAAAAGGAAGATTTTCCTCCCAAAAAGATAACAGTCATTTGCACCTATCTGTCAAGGCTTTGCCCAGCATTCTCATCCTATTTGGCATCCACTTTGACCCCTATCATTCTCTTCCTCCTGGTTCAGCATCTTTGCCACAGGTTGTCCTGGAATTACAAACACCTAGCAAGAAATAGATATACTCACAGATGCAGAAACAATACAGATGTACCTACCCACAAAGACAAGATAAGCTGAGAAAGTCTTGCCCTCTTTTGAAAAGGACAAGGCATTGGGAAAGGTTTTCCCATCTCTAAGACTTTGGAGTGATGCTCCTGTCCAAAGCAGAGAGGACTAGTTCCTTTCTACTAATTTGTAGTTAACATAGAGAAGATTGAAGACTTAATCCCACCTATGGAAGGGACTTTGGAGATGGGCCAGATGCCATCACCACAGGAATTCAGTCAGAATCAAATTACTGTTGGTGATTTCCTGCATGTTTTGGCTTTTCGATTAAGATGAAATGTGCCACAGTGAACATGTGTGCACGCTGAGAGGAGAAATAACTCGATGGCTGGGTTGATTGTAGCCTCTCCCATGACTTCACGGACAGGTAAAGTTGAGCAGGTGTCTGGAAAACAACAACAACAACAACAAAAAACCCCACTAAACTTCTGATACCAACAAGGAAGACAGAAAAGACGGAGGCATCACAGTCTTACGTATACAGACTTGAAAGACTTGAAGCTGTAAGCCAAGGGGGGTGGCCAGATAAGACAAATGGTTTTTCATTGGAATTACTGCATAGTTAGAACTTGACAAAAACTGGATTTCCTTTCCGAGGTGATAGGGTCTGAGCTCAAGCCAGAATTGGGCCTGTCCGGCTCGTGCAGCAGCCAGAGGCCCCCCGACAGCACTCTGGTGGTGTTTGCATGAATGCAATCACGGCTGTCTCTGGGCTTAAGTTACCGGAGGTCAGACACCCATTTGTCCTGGGGCGGGGGCAGGGGGCAGGTTCCTGGTGTGTACTTTCCTTGCCTTCCCAGCCTCGGCACCTCGTAAACCAGATTGTGTTGCTGCAGCTTCATACAGGTGCTCAGTTAGGTTTCTCCATAAAAGATTATGAACAGGTGAAATGTCATTCTTCTAGAGAAGGGATGGTTGGTTTGTTTTTTTCCTTTAACAGGGTAGTGACTTCACAAAAGTGCCAAGATGGCAAAATTACAAAACAAAACAGTATTATGATACCATTAAATATGGAACATTAAACTATTTATATTTAGCACTGCTCTTCAAAACAAAATACAGATATGTCTGTAGGTGTAGTCAAAGCTTTAATAAGTAATACCTTTCTGTATTTAAATCAGAGTAACTCTGTATCGAGTACAGTGTCTTTTTCCTCATGCACATGTTATGTTGAAGAAAATGTTTACAAAAATGGTTTTGTTACACTAATGTGCATCATGTATTTATGGTTTATTTTTAAAGTGATTTTTTATTTTATTTAGGTTTTCGTCTTAGTTGCAGTCCGTTTACAGTGATTCATAATCCCTAATTTTGCCAATTATAAATTTGCTCAACAGTAATACAAATGACAGACTGCATTAAATTTACTAATCCTAGAGCTACAAAGCAGACTGGTGGCAAGTACGTGGCCTCCCCTCCCACCCCCCAGTGCTAACTTGTCTTATGTGTATTATGAAAATTACTGTTGGCCCCTCCCCCCTTTTTCTTTAAATAAAATAAAAATGACACCTATGTTAATGTGGCATGAGTTTCAAATATATTCTGATCCTTCAGAATGTTTCCTTTCCATATAAATCCATACTTTATGCATACCTCCACCCCTGGCTAGAGAGGGTGGCTCCATATCCTGCCATCTCCTGTAACAGGGTTGTTTGTTAAAGGTGAGCTCTTGATCATCATGTTCTTGAAGCCAAGAATGGGTAAAGCTGATCCCTAAAGAAGATGTAGGTTTTATTTTTGCAAGTCTGAATTGAATCAAAAAATAAAATAGCATGATGTCTGTATCTAATAGGACAATTGAAGTAGCCCTTCCTCAAATTGGCACCATCAATACTAACTTAAGCCTAGTAATTGGAAGGCCTTTGTGGCCAAGCCCTTAGCATGTGCCCCATTGATTTCCCCCAGAGATCTGGCAGGCTTGATCCCCATTGGATAGATGTGGGACCACATCACCATGATCAGCGCCTTGGCCAAGCCTCCAGGGTTGCAGAGGGTGGCCACACAACATTATCATAAATCAAATGTTTAGAACCAGCTCCTTTGTGCTTCATATTAGAAACATGTTATTTCTTTAAGGTGAAAATAAAATTGTAAATACCTAGGCCACCAAGTGAGTATGTTTTTTCTTTTCCTACTTGATATTTGTTGCAGCTGGTGGATGATTAGGAATAAAAATCTAGTGGAGGGCTAGTTGTCTTGGGACCATCATTCATCCCTCCTGTACCTAGTTCATCCTCCACTGCTGTGGTCTCACTTAAAGCAAGCAACCAGGATGAAATCAGCCCCTGTAACTGACACCAGCTCAATGTTTTGACATCACATTAAGGGTTCAGTGAAATTGCTACCTTCTCTGCCATCTCTGACTTCAACAACAACAGATGCCCGTGTTTCATTTGCTAAGTACATGTACCCTTGAACAACATGGGAGCTGGGGTCACCAGCCCCTTGTGCCATCCAAACTCTTGAGTGTAACTTTTGACTCCCCCAAAACTTAACTATCAGTAGCCTACTATTGATTGATCAGAAGCCTTACCAATAACATAAACAGTCAATTAACCCTATTTTATATATTTATATACCATATTCTTAAAGTAGGCTAGAGAAAAGAAAATGTTATTAAAGTAGTAAGGAAGAGAAAATACATTTGCACTCATGTACTGTAAAAAATCCACATGTAGGTGGATCCACACAGTTCAAACCTATGGTCAAGGGTCGACTGTAGTTGTTAGAAAGTAAAACTGAAAAAAAGAAAATGCAATTAAAAGTTGGGAGAAGTTATTACTACATTTTCTTATGGGAGAAATAACAGGTTCAGTTATAGGTTCTCATACCTGGTCTACTTCTTTCATCTTAAGATTAATCCTATTATATCCAGGTTTCAAAATCTTGGTGAAGCTGTCCCATCTCTGCCTCTGCCTTCCTTACCTTGTCTATGCTTACAGTCAATAACCTGTCCTGGTCTCTGATAACTGGATTGTTTTTGCTTACTCTTTGTTTCTGTCTGAATACAGGGCCTGCATATGAGCTAAGGTTGGCTCTCAGGGTTGACTCCCAAATGCTTCTCCAAATCTACCAAACATGTTGCTGGCGGTGAACAGGCCCTCAGAAATTCCTGGTGGTTTGCTTAAGTAGCATGAAATTAAAACCCTGATGTTAGTCCAAGGGGAAACCAGCACTCCTGTGCCCTGTGGGCCTTGTGAGGAAGTGCCCTGGTGTACACAGGTCCCAGGAAGGGTGTGGAGCGGTAGCTTATTGGGCACAGCACAAGGCCACCCAGTGCTATAACAGGCCATAATACTCACCAGTCCCTGCTGCTGCAGGTTGGCTTCCTATAATAACAGGACCCTTGATTCCTAGGTCCTATCTCCTAGTTTGCTTGATTATCGGAAATTTGAATTTGATGGTCCAGCTCAAAATGCCCCCTAGAAGTTCTGTGGAAAGATGTCAAGCTTGAGCAAGGCAATTCTGCCCCTTCCTTAAATTTGTTGAGATGTCAGACATAACTACAAACCTTAGAAACCAATATTACACAACTTTTTCATAATAAATGATACTAAATAATGCCTTGATTATTTTTTTAACAGCTTTACTGAGCTATAGTTCACATAACCGTACAGTTCAGTGGCTATTAGCCTATTCAGACCTGTGCATATATCACTACCACAATCAATTCTTAAACATTTTTTATTATCTTTGCTATTACCTCCTTGTCACCCCACCTCTTCATCCCCCTAAAGTTTTAGGCAACTACTAATCTTTTCCAATATGGATTTGCCTTTTCTGGACATTTCATATAAATGAAATCCTACAATGTGCATCCTTTATGACCCGCTTTTTTGATTTAGCAGAATGTTTTAGGATTTATCCTTGCAGCATGTATCAGTACTTCATTTATTTTTATTAGCATCCTTGGTTCTTCACCTTTGTCACTGGTGCCTGCCTTCAGCTTTAAAACCAACCACCTACCTCACTGATAGCCAACCGTGTTCTAGCCTCAAATGAAAACTGCAGAGTTAACCATCCACCCCACAGGGGAAGCAGGTGACAAGCGGCTTCAGAAATGGATTCCTGCTAAGGTGTGTTTTCAGTTTGAACTCTTAGAAACACAGTGATCCCCCCAACCACCGCCCTGGAGAGATCTTGATGCTAAACATCAGGCTCATCACAGGACAGGTACAGGGTGGTCAAGGTTTGGAATGGAGGACTGTTTGGGAAGCACTCCTACCTGCCCACAGAGAGCAGCTCTCCAACCCCCAGGAAGGTTGGGACTGGCAGGTGTTCTGCTTGTGTCCAAGGCCTGGATCAGGGTATGCAGCCGGTCCCTCTAACTTTTGTGTGCTCACCCCTAGGAAGGGACACAAAAGCTGGTATTGCTGAGCCAGATCCCTTTTTGTCATGGGAGAATACTTAAAACTCATATTTCAGAAGGGTCTTGTTAAGTTGGCTGCTCTTTTGTATCTTACTGGCATCAAGGACATTTCTTTGGTGTTGCCTCCTGGGAGGCCTTCTAATTGTCCTCCACTTTCCCTTGCAGTGTACATCGTTGAGTAAGCGTGGACACTAGTAACTTCTGGGAACTTGGTGGCATTTTGGTCAATCTAACAAGTTGAGCAACCACTGGGTGCTGAGCAGTCTTGAGGTATGGCTCTCTTTGGGGAAATGGAGGGGAGTTGTCTAAAGGGCCAACTTTGAAAATGGTGCCTAATATATTCTAGATGTTGAATGAAGCAGGGCCTTTAGTAATGGTGCATATGAAAAAGATTTACACTTACTAGCCTGAAAAGAAAAAAAAGGCAATGTGGCTGCCAAAAGGGCTGGTGTGAGTTCAGACTGTATGGCTAAAACTGAAGTGAGAGAAGAAGATGCCCCCATTGTGGTTAGGTTGCATTTGGTTAGATAATGCTTGTCATGAAATCTGGACCAGTTGCAGCCTTGGCTTGAGAGAGACCTGGGTGGGAAGGGCTCCATAAAGTTTTCATAAAGATTGGCTTAAAGAAAAGGTATGTTCTCCAAAAATAATTGGGAGAAGTAGTTATAGAAAACATCTAAAGATTGTTCAACTAAACAGTCCATTCTAGTTTTTTGCTAACAACGACAGCAAATATTTTGTGTGTATTTGCTATGCACCAGACATGTTCTAAGGACTTCTTACATATATCCTCTTAACCTGTAGAAGAAAAGATTCAAGTGGATACCCACTTGTTGACTTAAATTTATTTGGAGAGATAACAAATGCAGGATAGGTTGTTCTGCAAGGTGCCAACTGGTAGAGCTGGGAAAGGTGGGTTGAACCGTAGAGAGAATTTGTCTCCACTATGAAAGGCACCATCACAATTGTCCAGTAAAATGAAATGGGCACCTTGGATGCCTGGCCAAGCCCATGCCCTTGAGGCTGTTTTTGTTGGGATGTAGAGGAGGCCTCTTGCGGTGTTTTGGGATTAGGTACATACAAGGCTGGTTAACAGTCCATGAGCCATTTGAGAACATTCTTGAACCCATATACAAAATGGCTTTGGCACTCCTTGTAAACATGAATGCATTTTTCAAGCAAATAGATATTTAGGCAACAATCCTAAGAGTTCCTCTGGTCTGTGGCAGAAATGGGATAGGTAGTGGCAGAGAGAGGAACTTTGTCCAGGACACACTGATGTGTTCGTTGCCTCACAGAGCTCCTTCTCCGGGGCTTCTCCTGTGGAAGGCACACACAATGTTTGATCCCTCTTTCCCAGTAAGTGGCCACCACCCCAGTGAATGCTACAGCCATCACTTAAGACTCCTGCAGACTTTCCCACCTCAGAAGTGGGCAGGTTCTGCTGGACCTGAGACCAGGCAATGTTCTCTGTGATCTTGGAGGGCTTTCTGCATTTAGTCAACCCTCTAGGCTGCCAGATCCTGGTCTGTCTTGGGTTTTCATCCTTACCTAAACAGTGGAATGCCAGTATATAAAGCAGAGAAAAGAGGTGTCGATTTTAAATTCAAATTTATAACATCCTTCAAAGATGAAATAATGAAAACTGATAATGCTTTGCTCTTGGGGTTTATGGATCATAACTGTCAGTGTCTCTATCGCATTTCTTTTTCAGTTCTCTAATAAGGAGTTAATTCTGATGCCGGCAGGAGTATGATTGCCAGTTAGCCTTGCAAGAAAACAAACCAAAAAGTGTATGAAGTCAACAATGTGGGGACACTTTTTAGTGATTCATGGGTAGCAGCATAAGATGTGCACAAAAATAAGTGAACCTGGCAACACCAACTATTGTTGTGTTGGTCTCTAGTAGAAGATACACACTTGATTGTGCATGTTTTAATATATTTTATTTAACTTAGTATATATTTTATTTAACTCAGTATATTCCAAAACACAATTTCAACACGTAATCAATATTTTAAATAAAGGTATGGTTTGCATTCTTTTTTCATACTAAGACGGTGGGTATTTCACACAACACATCTCAGTTCTGATTAGCCACATTTTATGTTCTCAATAGCCACATGTGGCTAGTGGCTATCATTTTGGATGGTGCAGTGCTAGAGAGCCTTTATATACCTTATGGTAAGAATCTTTTGAGGTAAATATTGTTGCTACATTTTACTGGAGAAGAAACTGAAGTTCCTAGAAGTTAAATCCTACTGCAGGTCATTCTGGAGAGTCTGAATGGAGGAGCAAGAATTAGGACCTGGTCTGTTCATCTCCAAACTCTGGGTTTTTTTTTTTTTTTTTTAAATACATCGGTGCACATTATTTTGATTAAAAAAAAGTAGTTTTAAAAAACTTTAATTTTTGATTTTTTAATTTATGGTTTTATTTTGATTTTGATTTTTTAAAAATAATTTTAAAAAAACACTAATTTTTTTAAGACAAAGTTCCACAAAATGCTACTTGGGAAGAGGGGTTCTGGTCTATTTCACTCATTTGTATTTTCATCAAGAAACCTGAATTCTAGAAAAAAAATGGAGCACTGGGTGTTATATGCAAACAATGAATCATGGAACACTACATCAAAAACTAATGATGTAATGTATGGTGATTAACATAACATAAAATTAAATTAAAAAAAAAATTTTTTTCATTTATAAAGCTTTCGTTCCCTGGTTTATTAAAACAAATGTGAGATAGTCAAAGATAGGCAGACTACATCATTTGCAAAAATCAGGGGGCCAATTTGGCAATGTCTGATACCTAAGAAGACCTCATTCTTCCTGTGAGACTGACTTTTGGCGTGCTTTGACTTTCAAAGTCTCCCTGCCTTGGTGTTTCCTTCATTTCCTCCAGTTCATGGCCAAGGATCTCAGTGAGGTTTTTCGCATTGCCTACCCCTCCCACCCCGAGAAGTTGCATGCAGTGGGATCTGGGCAGCTGGGTGGCTGCTTTTCCTGAGGAAAGTGAGTGTTTTACACAGAACACCCTGTCTGGTGCCAGGAAACATGTTCAGTCAGGAACCTCTGAGTCATGTGACAGGAGTGACTAGGGCCTCATCCTGCTGAGAAATGAAGCTGTCAGAGATTTCTTGTAGTTGTGGGGAAAACCAGTTCCACCTTTATGTCCAGACACTGGTTCCTGCCGTTGCGTGGTCCATAAAAGAACGGGACCCGTGTGGTAGAAATTGAGAAACAACAGTAGCTCAATAATGGTGCACTCATGGCATACTCCTGTACAACCTAGTCATGGACAGTATTTTGAGTGCTCCATTCTTGAGTCATTCTGTTCTGTCCCCAAAATTTAGGATAGGTAGATATCTCCTGAGCATCCAGGTCATGATCTCCCTTGTGCTGAACTACAACCCCTTGCTTTAGTTTATATTCTTAATGCTTTGATGCCATTCTAGAGAATTTAGGTGCCGGTGTTTCTACCACGCTGTTTGTGTCGAAACCGTGGTTGTTGTGAATTAGATGTCACATAAGAGAGTGCTCATCCTGGAATCTGCCAGAATTAAGGGCCTATCATGTAGGACCAAACCCCTAGACCATATTATTCCCCAACATTATATAATCAAGTTCAGCTGTCTGAGAGCATATTTCTTACCTACATAAAACTGAAGCATCTGCTTCAAAATAACTGTTTTATAGATGCTTCAAATCAAGTGTTTTATAGTTTTATGCTCTAAATAGTTTATCCATTAAAATGTATTTATGAAGCACCATGCTTTGTACAAATCACTGTATAACATACGGAGACTGGTGTAAAAAGTGAAGGAAGAGGATCTAATTGTAGCTCAGGTTCCCAAAGGAAGTTCATTTTGAGGAACTAAAAAGACATGGCAGCCTCCCCGAAGTGCACGGAGACCCTGAGGCACACTGCAGAGAGTGAACCTCGGGCTCCTGTGAGACAGAAACAGAACAGCAAGGCTGTGCTGCCCTTCCAAGATGTGGACAATTCAGTCATCTAGATCAGTGGTTCCAGACCTTGAGCATGCATGCAACATATCCAGGGGGCTTGTTAAAAACACAGACTGTTGGGCCTTACCCCCGAGGCTCTGATTCAAGAGATCTGAGGTGGGGCCAGAGAATTTGCGTTTGTAACAAAGGTCCAGGCTGATGCTCCTGATCTAGGACCCCACTTTGAGAACCACACTGTTCTATAGAAATTGTTAAAACTATTGAAAACTGGGCGCCTGGGTGGCTCAGTTGGTTAAGCGACTGCCTTCAGCTCAGGTCATGATCCTGGAGTCCCGGGATCGAGTCCCGCATCGGGCTCCCTGCTCGGCAGGGAGTCTGCTTCTCCCTCTGACCCTCCCCCCTCTCATGTGCTCTCTCTCATTCTCTCTCTCTCAAATAAATAAAAAATAAAATCTTTAAAAAAAAAAAAAAAACTATTGAAAACTAAGGACAGTGAAAAATGCAGATCAGCACAGTAATTGGAGCCAAATTCCAAGATCAGATAGAAGCACAGAGAATTCCCAGAGGGGAGGGTTCAGACCAGACGGGTTGGAGGCTGTCACTTGCCCACACTTATTAAGCCTCATTAGAAAGTTCCTTAGTAAGAAGGAATCAGAGATTGACACCGGAATCTTTTGTCACCCCTGTGTCTTATTTTGTATATGTACATGTATTGATATAATATTTGCTTTGCTCTATCTGTTTTGGCTATGAACTGAACTGTGTCCCCCATAAAATTAATATGTTAAACCCCTAACCCCCAATGTGACTATATTTGGAGATAGGGTCTTTCTAGAAGTAATTAACATTAAGTCATAAGAATGGGGCCCTAATCCAGTAGGACTGGTGTTCTTGTGAGAAAAGGAAGAGACACCAAGTGCCCACACATGGAGAAAAGGCCATCTACAAGCCAAGGAGAGAGGCCTCAGGAGCCAGCAAACCTGCTGAGACCTTGATCTTGGACTTCCAACTGCCAGAACTATGAGAAAATAAATTTCTCTTGTTCAAGCCGCCCAGTCTATGGTCTTTTCTTTTGGTAGCCTGAGCAAGATAATATAGGGTGCAACCAAGGTGAGAAGGTGAGCTTCCTAGAGCAAGGGAAGGAGAAGCTTGGAAGGGGGCTCTGCAAGTGGAGACTCGTCCAGCTCCCAGCAGGTGACAAGAACTCTGAAGAGGTGAAGTGTCACAGGAAATGAGCACAAAAAGCTGAGGTCACAGTAGGCAGAGCCAAAGATCCCTAGGTAACAGACTCCACAGACTTGA